ACTATTGTAGTTCCAGGAATCCGTATTTTGTGAAATTGGTATTGTGACAAAAGCGATAACGGATTACACACACTATAGTGTTCATTTACTTCTCATACAGACATAGCCCAAATGTACAGACTTACGAATTGTCTAAATATTATTCCTTAAAACATGTTACGCTGGAGCCCCCTTAAGGTAATTGCTATAACTTATTATTATCGTATTTACACGTTATCTATGAGGCTGGAATGCATAATGCACAGTTTTCAACACATTCAATACGTTGCTTTCGGCATACGCATTACGACTCAATATTTTTATATTCTTATAAATCATGAGATAATTTTTGATAGCCGATTATGATTCATTAAAAATTTAAATAATGGAGTGGTCCATGGGAAGTCCAAGAATTTTTATGGTATGTAGCTCTGAGGACGGAGTTCGCTATCCAGTATTTATGGAAATCTGTGTGCTCAACAATCACCAAAAAGCAATAGGGCAACAAGTTAGAGTGATAAGCGCTTGTCCGAAAATGTGCCTTCCCAATTATCGTTTTACTTGGGAAGATCGGGAAGTGATAAAGATAGGTACACATTTAATTTAATATAAACCACGGTTGATTATAGACGTATACGCACCACAGACTTCTTTACTACACTAGATAAGGAACTCTTATACAATTTACATTGTTACAAATGAAGCTCAGCTGTGAACGGCCGCCATTTTGTCGGTTGGCAAAACATTTAATTTATTATACAAAATGTATTAGGAATAATATTTTTTTTAACGGTCAAATAAAATAGTAAATGTAAAATGACTTATATAAAATATTTTTTTTTTTTGTAAACTAAATGTTTAAAAATAATAAAATACGATATAAACTAAATCATAATATCATCTTATTTGTCATATGAAATACCATACAATTGCCAACCGACCTTGAAGCTTCAATTCATGACCGGAGTTCGCTATCTAGTAATATATAGAAATCTGTGATACGCACGGTCCACGTCTCCACGATTTAAGGTATATCTTAAATCGTGGCACGGTCGTATATTGTTCATAATGAAAGCAATATTGTCCCAGTGAATATGTTTTATTTGCACTTTGCAGGTTTACCGCTAGATCGCACTGCAGTATTTGGCCCTCATATTCACACTTTCAATCACGAATGTTCCGCGATATATTTTACGCATGTTTTTTACGCCCCTAGGTTCGCCGCGATCTTTTAGATTCTGAGTGAAACGATGAATGTATTGATTTTACAATGATGTGTGTTTTTTTATTTTTTTATTTTTGTGTCTGTGTACACGATAAGTAGTCGAAATAATGCTTCGATTTTCGACTTCAGTATCTTGTTCGATTGGAAAGCGAATCTAGTTGGTGAATTCGGGAGGTCAAAATTTGAAATTCCCAATAGTTTTCACAAGCGCCGGGAAAAACAACATAAAAATTAAGGAAAAACGGGAATTTTTACGCAAAATCGGTTTTTGACAATATCGAATTTGGTTTTTGGTGTAACTTTAAAACAAATGACTGTAGGAACATGACATTTTGACTGGTTGTTTATATTTGCATTTTCTATACACGATAACATTTTCAAAATATTTTGATTTATTTTGAACTGTTAAGGGACATTTTCATTTTCCATTTTTTTTTAGTTTATTTTCTAAAAATATCAATAAAACTTTGTTTGTTGAGTAGAAATACTTGAAAATTTAATACAAGGGTCCTACTAAGTTGTTACAAAGGCAGATGAAAAATATTAAAAATCCTTATTCACAGTTTTTTTTTATAAGTATTTAAAGTTCAAAATTTGAGAAAATATGAAAAAATCACGAAAATTAGCAAATTATTTTGAGTTAAGAATTCGCAACATTTTTTCTTTTTAAATCTAAGATTTTAAAATGTAATACAAGATTACTCATAAGTTTGTCTACCTTTATCAATAAAAAAAATCTCTACCGGACAGTCAAATTAAATTTTTATGAGCGTTTAAAATTCAAATTTTTACAACATTGGATGTTCACTCGATTTCTCATGTAACGATTTTCTTATTTTGTTGTTATTCATAAACGAATAACAATAGATACATGAAAATTTCACTGAATGTTTATATTAGCATTTCCTATACACCATACAATTTTGAAAATATTTTGACTCTTTTTGAGCTGTTTACGGATATTTTCATTTTTCAATTTTTTTCGTTTTTTTTTCTATGAATATCAATAAAGTTTTATCTGTTGGGCCAAAAAGTGTAAAAATTTAATACAAGGCTCCTGATATATTGTTACAATATCAGTTGAAAAATATTAAAAATACATAGGCACAATTTTTTTTTATAAGCATTTAAACATCGAATTTTGACAGAATTTTTCAAAATCTCGAAAATAATTAATCATCGTAATTAATAAATTATAAAATGTTCAGTTTTGATAGCTAAAGATTGAAAATTTAAAACATGATTCCACGTAAGTAGTTAATTCACTAAACCGAAAAATCTAAAAAATATACAATCACAGTTTATTTTTATAGTCATTTATGTTCAAATTTGGACGAAATTACATATTAAAAAACCTAGTTATTTTGTTGTGATTATATAATATTATTCGTGGGTACCTACTTGAAACTTCTAAAGTGTACTATTATATATCTATGATAGTATCAGGGTTTGTTATTGATGTTGATGTATAACGTGTTAAAGTACCTAATGGATATTGTGATAATGTGATATGATTAATTTGGAATTTATTATAGGTCAATTTTTTTCTTAATACCATACTAATAGATATGTATATAATTTTTCTTAAACCTAGACTGACATACCGTCTTCACTCAGAATCGTTTTTCTTATACAATGATATTGTATCATTGAATTCAAATTTAATACCATCCATTATACAGTGACTCACTTGTAACCTACTGTACAGCAGAGCGACATCCACTTACCCACCTTTTTTTAGTTTTTTTTTCAATAAATGTCAATCAAGTTTTATCTGTTGGCCAAAAAATGTAAAAATTGAATGCAAGGCTCCTGATATATTGTTACAATATCAGTTGAAAAATATTTAAAATACATATCCACAATTTTTTTCTATAAGCATTTAAAGATCGAATCTTAACAAAATTTATCAAATTTAAAATTGAATAATTATTTTGTAGTTAATAATTTATAAAATGTTCAATTTTTATAGGTAAGGATTGAAAATTTAAAATAAGATTCCACATAAGTAGTTAATTTGTAACCAAAAAATCTAAAAAATATATGAACACAGTTATTTTTTACAGACATTTTAAATTCAAATTTGGACGAAATTACATAATAAAAAACCTAGAATAACTATTTTAATTATTTTGTTGTGATTGTATAATATTATTCGTGGGTACTTGAAACTTCTAAAGTACACTATTACATATCTATGTTAGTATCAGGGTTTGTTTTTGTTGTATAACGTGTTGTATGACTTAATGGATATTGTAGTGATGTGATTAATTTGGAATTTATTATAGGTACTTATTATAGGTCAATTTTGTTTTAATACCATAGACATATGTATATAATATGTCTTAAACCTAGACTGACATACCGTCTCCGCTCAGAATTTTTTTTCTTATACAATAATATTATATCATTGAATTCAAATTTAATACTATCCATTATACAGTGACAATCTTGTAACCTACTGTACAGCAGAGCGACTTTTATTTTAATTGTGGCCCTCATAAGCAAATGAGAAAAAGTTAAGGTTATGAAATATATGTCAACCAAAAACAATCTATAGGTAGTAAAAATATAATTAAAATACAATTAACTATGGTCTTTGAAATTACATTTACCTATACCTACTCATTACATTAAATAGTATAATATACCTGCATAAATAAAAAATAAAATAAATTCAAAAAACATATTTCTAGATTTATAATAACATTGTGTTGCTTTCTTTCAATTTTACCTCATTATTATAACATGACGTGTGACGTTTATTAAAAAGATAGAAACATAAATTCACCATATTTTAATAATATAGTATTTTTACAACTACAGTTAGAATATATAACCAACCAAGTGTATTTTTAATTTTTACACCAATTCAAAAGTCTTTAAACATTAATATATTTTTTGGATACGAAGACAGATCTTGCAGGATACGCTTTGCTACATCATATTCCACACAACATAATATCCAAACATTGTATATTATGTCTGTTGACTAATTTTTATTGGCCTTTGGCAAATTCAGACCAAAGAAAAATTTGTTCGTATTTTAAGGAACTTAACATACAGGAATACAGAATATAGATTCCCTCTGTCAAACGTCTACAATAGTAAGGGAGATAAGACATGTTTGCAAATTATATTTTTGCTTAAAAAACCAAAAACCAGTGTCATAAATATAAACGTCAATTTATACCCACTAAAAAAGATAAAATATTAGCATGCTTGATAAATCACTTTGTGTACTCCAGTATTTAATTATTTTGCAGTTTTATTTACTTGCAAAATTTGAATTGATATTTATTATGTAGTCCATACATAGTAACCATAATATTCAAACGTATATATAGTTTCCATGTCAGCATAATACTGTTAAATAACATAATTTTGTGTTTCACTTCATAATTATTTAGTGTCTAGAGATTTCGCTTACGGTTGTTACAATTTATAACTTGTGCGTTCGTCTCTTAAAAGTTAAAACAATTAATAATATGTCTTGGCGAATTGACTAATGCCGGCGAAAAACGGTAGGTACTGTCAGTTTACCATAATCGAACTCCTTACATATTTTTTACATATTTTTACATGCATACATTTTATATTTTGAATTGACAAATTTTTACATATTTTTTTGTTTGACAAATTTTCATCAACTTTTTTATTGACAATCAAATAAATAACAAATTGAAAATAAACATAATAAATGGCAACATTGCACATAAAATCGTACCAAATCGTGTTGTTTTTACGGTTAATTTGACAATCCATTATTTGATCAAAATCGTACGGAATCGTGTTCTCAATAAGGTGATGTACGAAATCGTGCTTTACCGCGGACGAGGGGCAACTCCGGTACACAGGCGGTCCTCGCCAAGTCCTTTACACAGGTCGCGACCAGCCGCCGGAACGTAGAACCTGGTATTTGGTCTACCAAATCATTTGGCACTTGGCTTTCCGCTTTTGCAGAAGCAATGTTGCCATAGTAAAGAGCTTTTAACCGCTTAGCGGCCATCGCACCGTAAAATTGGGCACGGGTCCAGAATATATGGTCCAAATCCACGGCGGGCCGACTTGAAGAAATCTGCGGAGGCTGCATGATGTAAGCGTGGCGGCTACGTTTAACCGTTTTTTCCGACGACTTCAGTAGACCCTGTTGTATCAACCGTATTTCCAGTGCCGCAACAACCGGGGGTGCTAGAGGTGCAAAGAACCCCCGGGCCCCCGTTAAATCATAACAATGGGCCCCGGGGCCAGTGGCTGAACTATTTGGAACTTTTTTTTTCGTTTTAGGTGTATCACAAAGTGGTATCTTACCATCTTATTATTTTATCAAAAAATAGAAACTAAGGAATACATTAGAATCATAATTATTATTATTTAATATTTATTATGATATAAAAAAAAGTCCTAACTATAATTATAACAAAGTAATAAAAATAATAATTTCGAATGGCAGGGGTGCTTACCTTATATACCGCCAATATCATATTCTCGAATTTCTTAATTTTGCTATGTTGTGACGGCTGATAGTTACACTATTTAAATTGGGACAAGAAAGAAAATAAATGGTTTTAAAGGCCGCATACCACTTTGCTCCTCAGTCCTAACATACTATATGTGTACAATCACTACAATGTACAATGTGTTGGATGATCTTCACCTATCTGTAAGCAGTATAGCAGTGTTTATTATATTAACTACATAATATATAATGTATATAACTAAAAACAACAAGCAATATATATTTAATGACCTATTGGTACAATTATGGTACATGAGCATAGTTGCAACTAGGGTTATAATTCTGGGGGGCTATAGCCCACCTAAAAATACTATTTATTTAAAATAACCTATGAGCGGCTTATATCTAAATAAATAAGGAATATTTTTTGGATGGGTCTGAATCGTAGTCAGGGGGTTGCTTTAGCCCCCCCCTCCCCATAGATGCGTCTCTGTACATGGGCCCTATATACTCGCACACCTGCCAATATGTACCATGTTGCGGCACTGCGTATTTCGTAAGTCATGTTCACAAGCCCTGACCAGCCGCTGGAATATGGATGCGGTTATCAAGTCCACCAAATCTGTCGGTCCATTTAGTTCGGCAGCAAGCTGCAGCAATGTTTGCAAAATAAAGTCGTTTTAGCCGCTTAGCCGCCATCGCACCGTAAAATCGGGCCCGGCTTGAGAAATGGTTCAATTAATCGGCGGACCGACAGGTCGCGACCAGCCGCCGGAACCTAGACCCTGGTATTTGGTCTACCAAATCATTTGGCACTTTGCTTTCCGCTGTCGGGGAAAAAATTAGATTACCTATGTATATATGTATATATGTATGTATTATACCTATACACGAAATTGCATCAATTACAAATGAAATATGTTTAAGTTGAATAACTATAATTCAATATCGGTTTCTACTTTATGTATTATTTCATAATGTACCTAAATGTAAATTTTAAACTTGTATAAAAATTACCTACCTATATGTATTATGTTTATGAATTATAAATAACGAATATGTAAATTGTAAATATATGTATACAAATTATTAGATACCTATACCTATATGTATTATGTTTATGTATTATACCTACACGAAATTACTTTGATTACAAATAATATATGCTTATGTTGAATAATGCAGTTCAAAATACAATTGAAAAAAAACGTGGGCAAGTGACCCTGCAGTCTCTGTGGTTTATGTGTTAAATTTGAATTCAATGATATAAAAACATTGAATACGAAAAACGGTTATGACTTTGAGCGATGACGATCTGCCATCCTAAAGACAATAATATTACTAAGTATATTTTATAATATTTCTGCTGTTTAGATTAATTATTTTACTATTATAGACAATAGTACAGTACTTAATATGTAGATTAAAGTAATTTTTTCTAAAATATTATGGCATTTAAAAATGTCATTGTGTGTATACAGCAAATAATATTATATACACATTAATAGTTTCAAGTAGGTACCCACAGTTAAATGTTTAAATTATAACAAAATAACTGAAATCATTATTCGTCATTTAAATATCTGATTCTGTCAACATTTTAACTACAATTATGAAAAAAATCGTGCATACGTGATGCATATCTTTAATGTTTTTATTCTATTATTAAAATAACTACTTTTGTAAACTATACCTTGTATTCCATTTTTAAATCTTAGATATAAACAAAAAATATTTTATTAATATCTAACTCGTAATAGCTTGCACGTTTTTATAATTTTGACGAATTTCGTCACTCATAAAAAATTATTGTGGGTTTACGCTCAACTTTTTTTTTTAATTTTCACTAATAACAATAACCTTTGAGTTTTATTTTAAGTTTTTTAACGGAGCCCCGCTATTGTATCCATTTTAGAATACAATTTTCACTAATCAATCTGTTTTTAAAACGCTGTTTGATAAGACGCCAGCATAGGCGTAATTAGATGGGGTTGCCCCGGGGCGCCAAATTCTGAGTCCTCAAAGGGGCGCCTAGAGGTTATAACAAAATAATTTTTTTATTTTATTTGTTGAGAAATTATATTAATGATAACTGATAAGTGAATACCTGTATCTGTCTTATAATATCTTTTACATTTCTATACATATTTCTATGTATTATATATACATAATGTATTTTATTAAATTGTCGTAAAAAAAGGCAAAAAGCTAAAATCAAAATTATAATTTGTTTAGGAATAAACTTAGAGTTAATGGTAAAATAAAAGTATTCTCTAAATTAGTGGAAGCATAAATGCAATAAGGGGAAAATATACATTTTGGGTTATCAATTATCACTTTTACGTGGCTTGAAACCGATTGAAAAAATTTCTGTTTTGGTTTCGATTTGTACACTGCTTTCCAATTTTTTTCGGTTTTGGTTTTATAACGGATTATACCGGTTTCTAGCTCTGCACTATTAACTAAGAGAAAAAGTAAATTGTAAATCAGATTTTTTTGTGACAATGAGTAAAAAGAAACTGAGACAAAAAGGGGCGCCAAAATGTGTGTACCTACCTACCCAGGGTGCCAAAATCTTAAATACGCCACTGGACTAAATACGCCAGCTATGAGCTATATAGGAAAAGTTTAACGATAATATGATTAATTTTTCAAATAGTTCAACTTTATCTAGGTAAAAAAAAATTTTAAACATTTACAAAATGATACAAAAATTGCTTGAGCTCTAACTTGTAACTTCAAACTTGTAATCAAGTATACAATATCATAATAAGACAAACACAACTCTTAAATTAAATTATTGTAATTTGTGTACTCAATTCACTTTAAACTACGTTAAGTTGCCTATCGATAAAACACAGTAATCTAAAAATAATTATCACAACCTACAATAAATAAATTACAATACAATTTCACTTAACAACTACAAAATTGGCATTTTTTTATACCTAGTGTTTTAAAATGTAAACTTAATGTGTTTCATGAGACAAGTTTTTCTTAAAAATATTAAATTGGTATAGTTTATTCGTCATCTTCTTCAAGTCTGTGATTCACATACATCATTTGTTTGTTCAATACTTCATTCTGCTCAAGAAAATCATCACGAATATCGACCAAGTCGTTGTACAGTTCATCTAGTGCATGAAATAATACAAATAATAATTACATAAGTTCTTAACTATTGTACTATCGAATGCGGAGCTGATCATTACCGTTGAAAAAACTAGGTATGCGATTTTCCTGACCATCCTACCTCTGCTAGTAATTCATTTCTCGATATGTAATTATAATAGTACAAGTAGAATTTAAAAAAAAAAAAACTTTTTAACAAGAAATTATAACGATTTAATATAGTCCTCCTGTTTAAAGCTATATTCTAATTCTAGTTCAAATCAGTCATAGTTAAAAAGTACCTACTCAACTGAATAAATATAATTGTAATGGCATTATGGGTACAATTGAGATAGGTGAGAGGGACGACGTCGTCCAGAAGTCTGAACTAGCAGTAATTTAAATAAATACAATTTACAGGCCGAAAAATCATGTAGGTATATATTATATAGTAGTCACAATTTACTGTAAAAATTAAAAATATAGGTAGTACATATTACTACATAAATATACATTTGAAATTATTTTTAATATATATACAGCAGTGGCGGCTCGTCAGGGGAGTCTTTGAGACGGCGACTCCCCATAAAAATAAAAAGTAGTAACGCAATAAAAAAGTTTGAAGAAAATTGTATTATAATTTAATATTTTTATGTTATATCCATTCTGAAAATAATTATCATGGTTTTCGATATTAATATTGATAATATTTTGTATTCTATTTTTACATTAATAATGAGTGTCATTCAATAACAATACAATATAAAAATATATCGATAACAATACAGGCTAAATATATCGATAACGACGACGACGGCGACGACGACGACGGTCGTTAGTTCGAAAGTCTGCCGTCCGAAAGACTCAATTATGTAATAATATAATCAAATTGCATATGCTGATATGCAATATGCATGACAAGGCGGAGGACGGGGATAGATTGTATAGATGTTATTCAGTACATTGAGACTCAGACTAGACTCATTCAAAGTTTTTGCCGTTCGCATTGCGGTCGTCACGTATTTTTCTGTAAACACGAAAACTGCAGCGTGTCGTGCGTCCGTATTAGACTATTAAATTTAGCTATTTGACATTGTATAGCAGCGTGTACCTAGTAATTTAAATTATTATAATTATTTAATAATTATCTATTCTTATGATTTTTATAAAGCTATCAATTATAATAATAAAAAAAGGTTTTTTTTATCTTTTTTGGGTTCATTTTTTTTTATTATTAAATTTTCAGTCTCCCCAATGAATTTACTTGCGAGCCGCCACTGATATACAGTGTTAATAGGGGAAATTATACAGGAAACCTTTGTAATTTGTGCACCCTTAAAAATATTACTGGTCTATATAGTTGCGCCTATGAATAACCGTATCACACTTACGGACGAGCGACTGATATTATTATGTAAATCGTTTATTGTAATTTTCATAAAAGACAAAATATGAGAAACGTATAACCTAACCTTAGAATAATATTTTTGAGGGAATGTCATATCGATTTTATATTTTATTGT